TGAGGATCACTGACCTCCGTGCATCACATTAAAGGGCACATGATACAGGTTTATCCCATTACTAGTGATGTTAGTTTTGATTACTTATTTAAGAAAAGTAGTTTCTGCCAAGTTTCTCCTCTGTGAAGTTACTACCCTGCACTTTGTAATTAATAAATACTTTTCCAGGGAAATTTTGAGACTATGTAAATACCCTTTTTTGTGTGTTTAAGGGCCCCTGGATTCAGTAGTGCTAAACCTCAAACTACCCCAATTATATAAAACTAATATCGCCTATTTTGCATTAGCTAATTTGAATTGGGTTTTTCCTTCAGCCATCTGGAGGAGCTCTGCCTGAAGTGGGGCTTAGGAGAAATTATCTTCTACTTGTGATTTTTTTTTTTTTTTAAGATTTATTTATTTGAGAGAGAGCACAGCAAAGGGTGGGGGAGGAGCAGAGGGAGAGGGAGAAGCAGACTCCCCGCTGAGCAGTGAGCGCATGTGGGGCTCATTCCCAGGACCCTGAGATCATAACCTAAGCCAAAGGCAGAAGCTTAACGAACTGAGCCACCCAGGCACCCCCTATTTGGGAATTTCTAAAATTATCACCACAGAGGAAAGGAGGGAAACAAAATATCAATCAGAGAAGGCTACAAAGCATGAGAGACAACTATAGGAAACAAACTGAGGTTTCTGGAGGGGAGGTGGGTGGAGGGATGGGGTAACTGGGTGATGGGCATTAAGGAGTACATGTTATGTCATGAGCACTGGGTGTTATATGCAACTGATGAATCACTGACCTCTATCTCTGAAATACATAATACACTACATGTTAATTAAGTGATTTTAAATAAATAAAAAAAAGGGGAAGCTTACTCAGTCCAAAAGGGGGTCAGTCTCCTCCTGGTTCTGGGTGGAAGGAGATGGAACCCAATCAGTCCCTGCCAAGCAGGATGCATGGCATCCAGGGTATGGCTTTTCAGTGTACTAACACCTTCAGCTAGTGGCAGAGGGGGGTGAAGCGCCACAGGGGTTGGGCAACCAGCTCAGAGGAGTATTTCCTAAATATCCTTTTTCTTTTTTTTTTTTACTATTAAAAGTTTTTTATTAAAAACTTTTTTAAAAAACTATTTTTTACTATTAAAGTTTATTTAACAAAAAAGTTCAATATGAAAATGCACACGACCTGATTTTTATATTGTAGTAAAACAGGTACTATGGAGGGGACATGTGGAAGCAGTTGATTTCTTCTGATGAACACACCCATTGTTTATAGTCACTCCAAGGCTTCTAACATGATGAACTATTTCCTCGTATTACCACCATTCCAGTATTCTGTTGCCCACTAGTTGCCATCTCCACACATTCATCTGGCACAAGATTCGTGAACGGGTCGAACCCCCGCAATATTCCTTGGACATGTCTGCCACCATTTAATTTCAATGACAGTTTCTTGTCCATAAATTTTTTCAACTCAGTAGGGTGAGCTTTGCTCATGGTGTCTACTCCGCGAGCTCCAAGATGCTTCCAAACGGAATTCGTGGCGTCCCACACGCTCCCCTGTAGGCCTGGCATTTTGCGTCTCCCTAAATATCCTTTAAAAAAAAAAAATCAGACTTTTATTTACTAGTTTTAGAGTCCATTAATTCCTGCAACATTTACCATAATACATTTATGGGTTTTTTTTTTTTTTTTAGTGATTTATTTATTGAGGTGCCTGGGTGGCTCAGTCAGTTAAGCGTCTGACTCTTGATTTTGGCCCAGATCATGATCTCAGGGTAGTGGGATTGAGCACCATGTCAGGCTCTGTGCTCAGCACAGAGTGCTGGGAGCACGGGACAGGGAGCAGGCGGAGGGATAGGGAGGGAGAATTTAAAGGAGACTCCCTGCTGAGCACAGCGCTTGATCTGGGGCTCAAACTCATGACCCTGATGATGTGAGCTGAAATCAAGAGTTGGTTGCTCCGATGACTCAGCCACCCAGGTGCCCCTCTAACACATTCAGAATCAGAGTTATTTGCTAAGGACAAGCTAATAAATGGGATATGAGGGTGGATTCTAAGCTTTATTCCTCGCTGAATCCCAGGGAGATTTTGCTATTGTCATTTAACTTGTTTATGCTGCTTTAGGGTTGGAAAGGCATATTCCTATCTGAGAATATACTCTAACCTAGGGACAGAAAGGCAGAACTTGCTTGACTCCCAAGTCTCTGAGCCCGGTGGGCCCCAGAGATGCCCTACTCTTGGTATAGGCTGAATAGTTCTCTGGTCATGGAGGCAGCTCATAGTCAGCATGGCAACTGTTTTTATGATGAACCAGTCATGCAAATTTGGGAATTTTGTCTATACAAAAAGCCTAGTACTAGTACTAGTCCTATACTTAGGACCTTAAAGATGTTTCATGTCATGACTCAGAGCGTGCAGTAATAAATTCAGGATCAAACAGTTTCTGGCACATTTGTCTGTGGGAAAGCTCTCCATACAGTGTTGTGGGGATGATGGAGAGGGATTGCTTTCCGTCATCTTAGATTAGGATCACTGTCCCTACTTGCTTCTATTTAGGTCACGCATGTTGGGCCCTGGGTGGGTGGGGAATGTCTGCATTTAGGGTCTGCCTCCACTAGAGACAATTGCCTGTTTTCTGTGTTATGGCTTTTTCAAGGGAAATGAGCAACTTTTCTATTCAGCCTCTCAGTATAGAAAACATAAATATTAAACAACTGAAAACTTGAGCAGTCATGCAACAAAGATGTGGTGCAGAGTTCCTAGAGAGACCTCTAGGGGAAAAGATAGCATGTATCATAATATTGGTTTATTCTTTATGATAATATTCTTTAGTCTTGTGTTTTTTTTTTAAATTTTATTTATTTTTAAATTTTATTTTTTGAAGCCACTTAGTCTTGTGTTTTTGTTTTTAAAATTAAAAGACCCCAAGTCTTTATTATGAGCTATTAGATAGAAATAGCTATTTGTACCAGATAACAATGTAGGAAAATTGTATATACACAGAAAACAATGTTACTGGTAGCGTTACTAGGCAGGTAAATAGGGAAGAACAGTTTCGTTATCTTGCAAAAATTTATGGGAATAATTGATTTGACTTTTTAAAATCTACCTACGATATTTGGCATGTTTGTGATCAGTATTTACGTCAGCAGCTTTTGATCTTTGGAGACATACATATATATGTAGTTGATACTTTTTCTAGGGTACTTGCAAGATTTCTTCAATTTTTGCCCTAGGCTACGTGCTTCTTGTATATATTCCTTTTTCTCTTTCTAATGAACATCTTGCTTTCCAGCTCAAGTATTCCAAGTTTGTTTAATAATTTCTGAGCAGAATCCCCCTTTAAAATCTTGCCACTGTTTTTTTAATATTTAACCACTGTAAGTGCCATTTGTCACTTGTATGATTTTGAAATGAATTTTCTTTTCTTACAAGGGGTATTTTTGAGTCCACCTATCAAAGGCGTTTGTGTTGTTTCTCTTGCTTTCTTCATTGGTAACTTTAGAGCAAAAATAACTTCTTGAAATATAATTCATATACCATATAGTTCATATGAGTGAGCCACCCACGTACCTCATATCTTTATTTTTTAATTTCTTATTTCTCTTTAAAGATTTTATTTATTTGACAGAAACGCAGCGAGAGAGGGAACACAAGCAGGGGGAGTGGGAGAGGGAGAAGCAGACTTCCTGCTGAACAGGGAGCCTGATGCGGGGCTCGATCCCAGGACCCTGGGATCACGACCTGAGCCGAAGGCAGACATTTAATGACTGAGCCATCCAGGCACCCCCCCCCTTTTTTTTTAAGATTTTATTTTTAAGTAATCTCTACACCCAACGTGGGACTCAAGCTTACAACCCTGAGATCAAGAGTTGTATGCTCTACTGAGTGAGCTAGTATTTTTTTCCCTCCAAAGATTTTATTTATTTTTCGAGAGAGAGAGGGAGCACAAGTGGGGGTGGGTAGGGGCAGAAGGAGAGGCAGGGTCCCCACTGAGCAGGGAGCCTGATGGACCCTGAAATCATGACGTGAGCTGAAGGCAGACACTTAACTGACTGAGCCACCCAGGTGCCCTTTTGTGTCTTTGATGCACAAATCTAATGTCTGTTTTGCCTGTGTCTTTGGTGTCTTATTTAAAAAAAAAAATCATTACTGGGGCGCCTGGGTGGCTCAGTTATTAAGCGTCTGTCCTCAGCTGAGGTCATGGTCCCAGTGTCCTGGGATCGAGCCCCGCATCGGGCTCCCTGCTTGACGGGGAGCCTGCTTCTCCCTCTCCCACTCCCCCTGCTTTCTTGTGTTCCCTCTCTCACTGTCTCTCTCTTTCTCTCTGTCAAATAAATAAGAATTTTTTTTATAAAAGATTTAAAAAAAAGTTCTTAAAAAAATCTTTACTAATTCAGTGTCATGAAGGTATTGCTCTATATTTTCTGTAAGAGTTGTATAGTTACAGCTCTTGCATTTAGGTCTTTATTTCACAGTTTGGGATGTTAAGGAAACCTGGAGAGTCACTGAATAAAATGATCTCTCTCTCTCTCTCTTTTTTTTTTTTTTAAAGATTTTATGTGGTTGAGGGAGAGTGTGCATGCGCATAGGCGAGCTGGGGAGGGGACTTGCGGGGTGAGGAGCAGGGGGAGGGAGATAACCTGACTCTGTGCTAAGCGCGGAGCCTGATGCGGGGCTTGATCCCAGAACCCTGAGATTATGACCTGAGCCGAAACCAGGAGTCGGATACTTAACCGACTGGGCTACCCAGGCAGCCCCAGAATAGTTAGTAATGTCAGCTGCATATCACAAGTAGTATATAAGCAGAATTAAATCCTTTCTGTCCTTTAATACCAGTAACTGCCTATATAGTTGTGTGAGTAGGGACTGGCAGATTGGGTGCGCTGGATGGGAATGTTGGTGTTGTTAGGAACAATGACAGTGGTGTGTAGGTGGGTGCATAGAGAATGAAGTTGGTAGAATTATAATTGTGGAGCACATAAATACTATTTAACAGTACTGTTTTCTTTTCAAGGATTTGGACGTGGAAGAGGTAGAGGGGCAGGAAGATTTTCAACCCAAGGCATGGGGTAAGTCTGAGCCATCCTATTTTTATAGTTACTACCCTCTCTAGTTATTACTGCCAATGTTTTTCTTCCTTTGTCCTGTACCCAATTTATTTATCCTGGTGAGTCTCATGTTAATTCTATATTAAAAAGAGGAAATAGTGAAAAAATGAAATAGTACAAATAAAATTGTATTGCAGTGGGCTTTAGAGTAGAATTTATATCCTTGGCTCTGTTGACATTTTAGATTTAATAATAGTTTGTTCAGGTGGTCGGGTATCCTTTGCATTGTAGGATGTTTGGCAACATCCCTGGCTTCTCCCTACTAGAAGTAGCACCCCTTCTCAAGTTGTAATAATCAAAAAAGTCTTCAGATACTGCCAGACATGTTCCTTGGGAGGGAGGTGCACAATCACCCCTAGTTGAAAACCACTGCCTAAGAGTTAAGTTGATAAATAACAGCAATTTTCTTTGAATGATGAGTAAATGCAATGTTTATGTATGTAAAAGTGATAGTTTTTTCCCCCCATAGGTAATATAATCTGTTGTTTATTCCATAATTTCTGATTATTCTTTCACCTTTTGCTGCTTCTAATACATTAACTTCCCCTGGAATTTTAGGAATAGGCAAAGTTTTAAGCTTCATGTAGAAGCCATCTGTAGATGACAGTCAGGAAGGGAATTGGTTCCCGCAAAACCCTTTTGTCCCTTCCTAGCTCCAGGGCAGCACTGGGGGGCGGGGTCAAGGAGGTGTTTGCTGACTTCAGTGATACCTCTTGCCATTTCAGTTTCTTGACTGAGCTCATTGTGGATGGAGGAAGGATGAATCATAGGGAGCAAACTGGCTGGAACACTTAAACATACTGTATGTGCCCAGCTCAGTAGCTTTAGACTGTTTAGTAGATTGTGCAGTTTACTTTCAAAAATACTCTTTAATGATTTTTTTTTCTTTGTCAATGATAATCTCAATAAAGCTGAAAGAAATTTTAAAATTCTGTTCTGAAAATTTTAGAGATAGTGTTGATTGGGCTTTGGTTAGACTTCTGAATCATGGGTGTTTAGAATTTTAATGGAAAAAAAAACCTAAATGAAACATTGTCTTTAGATCTACCATTTCTATACAAAAAGAATCTGGATTCTGACTTGGGAAGAAAGACTGTGTGTTTAAGTCTGGCCTTAGTTTTTAGGGCTTTCCATTAGAGCCCTTATTCTTCCTAATACAGTTATAGTTGTGTACATCTGCTTTAGGATGCAGAGGGCAGCAATTTAGGGAAGTAAGGGCATCATACTGGAGTGTATGGAAGATCCCTAGTAAATCACTGCTTTTTAGAAGATCTGCATCCTGATGGCCAGAAGAATTAGCTATAATTAAATAGGAGAAGGAGGGTGAAGTTTCTTATAATGGCTTTTAGAAGGGACAGGGTTTTTTTGCGTGGGGGGGAAGATGATGTATGGTTGATTTTGTGACTTTGGTAATTGTTGCCTTTGCCTTAAATTCTTTATTTTTTTCAAACCTAAGGACATTTAATCCTGCGGACTATTCAGATTCTCCATCTATAGATGCCTGTGTTACAAAGCCAGTAGTTTGGGAAGCTACTCAGAATGGTGCAGATGAGGGAACTGGTAAGTGTCTGTTGTCAAAGATGTGTTTTAAATGTTTGAGTCTTTAACATACAAAGGTGTGCCCATGGAGAAGAATGAAAAACAGACCGCTGTCCTACCTCTGAGACTATTAGTTGGTTCTTCCCTCCAAAGTCTCACTTAAAAATCTCATTGACCATCAGGTATTTGATTTTTTTCTTCCTCACTTTGAGGGAGAGCCTTTAATTAATCTGTGTAAATCAGTACAAAATCACACTCAAATATCAGTGTATATATATCATTTCTCAGGGGAAGACTTGTTACTGGAAAGTACCGTTCCTGATGGTGGACATAAATTTGGCCAGATAAAGTGGTGGGTGTTAGGTAGGTTTGGGCACCAAGTGCTTCTGCAGATTTTTTCTGGATCCTGATGTTTTTGGATAGTTTTGTTTTGGAAATTCATGGATAAATACTTGTTAATTGGTGTGTTTATTTAATAGAGCTCCTAGAATTTTTTTCATGATAATATAGATATTAACTGTTGCATTTATATTTATAAAAACCTGTTTTGACAATTCATGAATTCTAACCACAAATATAAAATTATAGTTCAATAAATAATCTAAAAGGAAACATCCATATAATATCTATCCTGGTCAAAAAACAGAACTGTGCCAGCACCACAGAAACATAATCAATGAACTAGAAATCAAAGATAATATAGAGAGGATCAACAAAAGTTATAAAAATGGTAATTTGAAAAGACTAGTAAAATTGGTAAGGTTACTCGGAGACTGATGAAGTGAAGAAGAGCATACATAATTGGTTATAGGAATGAAAAAAAGGATATTGATATTAATTATAATTGTAATATGTATTCTATATAATTTATATTTTAATATAATTATAATTACGATTATATCAGATATTAGAAGATTGTAAGATACTTCATGTCAATAAATTTTGTGCTAACATTTGAAATTACAGGTTAGTCTCTTCAACACAGATGTAAAAGTCTTAAGCCAAGATATTGGAAAACCATTCAGTAAGATAAAAAAGGATAATACACCATGGCCATTTTAAATGCATTCTTTTTTTTAAAGATTTTATTTATTCATTTGAGACAGATAGATCAGGAGAGAGAGAGAGAGAGAGCATGAACAGGGAGAGGCAGAGGGAGAGGGAAAAGCAGGCTCCCCGCTGAGCCAGGAGCCAGACGTGGGGCTCACTGGGATCATGACCTGAGCCGAAGGCAGACGCTTAACCGTCTGAGCCACCCAGGCACCCCTACATGTATTCTTGGTAGTCAAGTTTCTTTAACATTAAAAAACCAGTCACCTCCCAGATACATACTCAAGGGAATGGAGGACCTAGCTTTATGTAAAACCTTGTGTACAAGTGTTCATAGAAGCATAATTCATATTAGCCAAAACATGGAAACAAATCAGATGTCCCTCAGTGGGTGAATGGTTGAGTAAAATGTGGTATATGATCCATACAATGGAATATTCATTCTATAAAAAGGAAGTGCTAATGCGTGCTGTTACTGGATGAATCTTAAAAACATGCTGAGTGAAAGAAGCTAGTCATAAAGGACCACATACTTAATATTGTGTGATTTCATTTGTATGAAATATCCAGATCAGGCAGATACATAGAAGTAGACTATTGGTTGCATACGGTTGGGAATGTTTGGGAAAAATGGGGAGTGACTACTAATCGGTTCAAGATTTCTTCTTGGGAGTGACGAAAATATTCTTGAATAGATAGTCATGATTGTTGTACAACTTGTGAATATACTAAACACTGCTCAGTTGTGTGCTTTAAAAGAGTGGATTTTATGCTGTACAAATTATATCTCAGTAACATAAGTATTATTCATACGTTGAGTAAAGCTGAAAATTCTTAGCATTTCAGACAAAACCCAACATCCATTTCTGACTTTTTAAAAAATTGGCAAATCTGGAATACAAGGAAATTTCCTTAATCAGGTAGGGGATATCAACAAAACTTAAAGCAAGTGTTACGGTTAATGGTGATGTGTTGTATATTTTTTCTCTGGAACAAGATAAAGGAGTTTACTCTTATTATTTCTATATGACAATACACTAGAGGTTGTAATCATTACAGTAAAGAATGAAAAAAGTCAGAAGGTTTAGAAAGACAGGAAGAACCTTTCATTCCTGACAGTGATATAAAAATCTAGATAAAATATTAAAGTTAATAAGGGAGTTTTAAAAGGTGCTAGGCAGAAGTTCAATAGAAGATATATTCTATAAACCATCAACAAAGAGAAAATGGAAAAAAATTAGGAGTCTCAAAAACATAAAATGCTTAGGAAGAAGTGTAATGTTGAGCAAGATGATAAGACTTCTACCTATGAAAATGTTAAATCTTATATTTAAAATATGTAATCAAAAGTTTCAATAAATGGAAAGATACACCATTTTTATATATTTCAACTCTCATTGTTGTGAAACTTAGTTTTTACTGACTCTTTGGACATACTAATTCATGGTACTCCACTTTGTGAAAATTTATCTTGCTAGTTTTTTAAAATGTCAGGTTTATTGAGATAAATTTTATAGGCAATAATATTTATCCTTTTTAAGGGGTACAAGTAGGTGAGGTCGAACAAATGCATATACTTCTGTGACCACCCCTAAAATCAAGACTGTGTTTCTCTACTAGCAATGAACAATTGCAAATGAGAATTAAAAAGGAAAAAAAGTACTATTTACAGTATTATAAAAACATGAAATACTTAAAATGTGTGCAGTATTTGTATGTTGAAAATTATGCATCTTGATGAGAAATAATCAAGACCCAACAAAGGGGAAATTTAGTGTTTATGAACTGGATCATTCAGTATATTATTAAAAAGTTACTTTTTCTCAAATTGGTGTTTAGGTGCAGTACAAGTTGAATCAAAATCCTAGCAGGGGTGCCTTAAGCTCAGTCGGGCATCTGGCTCTCTGCACAGTGGGGAGTCAGCTTCTCTCTGCCCCTCTCCCACTTGTGCATGCTCTCTTTTTCTCTCTCAAATAAATACTTAAAGAAAAAAAACAACCTAGCAGATTATTGTTGTGTAAATTAACTTGATTTTAAAGTCTTTATAGAAGAGATGCCTGGGTGGCTCAGTCAGTTAAGCATCTGCCTTCAGGTCAGGGCATGATCCCAGGGTCCTGGGATGGAGTCCCACATTGGACTCCTTGCTCAGTGTGGAGTCTACTTGTCCCCCTGTCTGGTGCCCCCCCACCCCCGCTTATGCACGCATGCGCGCTTTCTCTCTCTGGCAAATAAATAAAATGTTTCTGTTTTGTTTTTTTAGGATTTTATTTATTTATTTGACACAGAGAGAGAGAGAGCGAGAGAAGGAACACAAGCAGGGGGAGCAGGAGAGGGAGAAGCAGGCTTCCCACCGAGCAGGGAGCCCAACCCTGGGACTATGACCTGAGCTGAAGGCAGACGCTTAACGACTGAAACACCCAGGTGCCCCCCAAATTTATTTTTTTTAAAAAAACATTTTATTTAGGGGCAGCTGGGTGGCTCAGTCAGTTAAGCATCTGCCTTCAGGTCAGGTCATGGTCCCAGGGTCCTGGGATCCAGCCCCACATTGGGCTCCCTGCTTGGCGGGAAGCCTGCTTCTCCCTCTCCTCTTGCTTGTGTTCCTTCTCTCTCTTTGTCTCTCTCTGTCAAATAAAATGTTAAAAATAAATAAATTTTTATAGGCAAATACAGGAACTGGCATAGCCCAAAGAATTTTGAAAAAGAGTAACAACGTTTAGATCATACGCCTTGATTTCATAAGTTTGTTTCTTTCTTTGGGGGGGGAGGAGAGAGGAGCAGAGGGAGAGAGAGAGAATCTTTTTTGGGGGGGGGGATCTTAAGTAGGCTCCTCATCCAGCATGGAGCCCAACATGGGGTGTGAACTCATGACCCTGAGATCATGACCTGAGCGGAAACCGAGAGTTGGACGCCTAATCAACTGAGCCACCCAGGTGCCCCTTAAAAAGTTAAAGCTACAATAATCTGTGGATTTGGCAAAAGCATTGAGACTGATCAGTTATGTAGTAGCAAATCTAGCAATAAACCCATAGATATATGGCTAATTAATTGACTTAGGACAACAGTTTCAAGGCACTTCAATGGTATTTATTATACTGTGCTACACAAAAAAAATAAAATCAAGTAGGTAATAGTTCTAAATGTGAAACCTGAAAAGATAACTTCTAAAGAAAATACAGGGGCAAATCTTATGCCACCTTGGGTTAGGCAAGATTTCTTATATAGGACACAGTAAGCACAAGTTATAAAACAAAAACTTGGTTTTTTTTTTTTTTTTAAAGATTTTATTTATTTGACAGAGGGAGAGAGAGCACAGATAGAGCGGCAGGCAGTGGGAGAGGGAGAAGCAGGCTCTCCGCTGAGCAGGGAGCCCCATGTGGGGCTCGATCCCAGGGCCCTGGGATCACGACCTGAGCTAAAGGCAGACGCTTAAATGACTGAGCCACCCAGGCGCCCAAAAACTTCGTTCTTGAGAAGAAAATAAGTTGAAAGGAGAAGGCATAGTTGAGGAGGAAATATTATAAAACTCCCATTTTTTATTTTATTATTTTTAAAGATTTTATTTACTTATTTGACAGAGAGAGACACAGCAAGAGAGGGAACGCAAGCAGGGGGAGTGGGAGAGGGAGAAGCAGGCTTCCCGCTGAGCAGGGAGCCTGATGCGGGGCTCGATCCCAGGACTCTGGGATCATGACCTGAGCCGAAGGCAGCCGCTTAACGACTGAACCACCCAGGCGCCCCTTTTATGTTAATCTCTCCACCCAACATGGGGCTTGAACCTGCAACCCAGAGATCAAGAGCCACATGCTTTACCGACTAAGCCAGCCAGGCACCCCAAACCCCCATTTGAAAAAGGATTTGCATATAGAATATATAAAGAGTTCTTACAACTCATAAGAAAACAAGCAACCCAATAAAATAAATGAGCAATTAAAAATGAACAAAAAATGAAAAAGTTGTGGAAATGGGTAGTG